CACCAACTCCCGGAGTCCACCCAAACCCATGTCCATTGAGTCGGTGATGCCATCCAACCATCTCATCCTCTGTCATCCCCTTCTCCTCCTGCCCTCAATCTTTCCCAGCATCAGGGTCTTTTCTAGTGAGTCAGCTCTTCCCATGAGGTGGCCAAAATATTGGAACTTCAGCTTCAGCATCAGTCCTTCCAATGATATTCAGGGTTGACTGGTTTGATCTCCTTGCAGTCCAAGGATTCTCAAGAGTCTTCTCCAGCACCACAATTTGAAAACAGCAATTCTTGGGCACTCAACCTTCTTAGCTCATTATTACTGGTACACTGGGATTGTTAATTGGATGTAACTGATATTTAAAATTTATCAGTTATTGAATAATTGTAAAACTTTTAAATGATGTGAATGTAATATGGTGATTTAATAATAAATTTTATCATTATTTAAGCTCCCAATAGAAAAATTAAACCTTGACCTGGTTTGGTAAGGCCTTTCTATAAAATCCAAAGCTAAGGAAAAGAGAAAAGTTTTAACTTTCAAGGACAATGAAGAGCTTTGGAAATACAGACCATTATTCTGATCAATACAGCTCACAACTTCTTTTTCTGAGAGGAAGGCAGAAGTAGCATTGAGTGAGCGGTTTGAGGACTTGTTGAGACTTCCAGGTGAATCAGTCAGGGGGCATTATAGGTAGCAAAGTCATTCAAAATATTGCACATTAGATTCTTATTTGCCTATCCCACTTTGGATCGGCTAGTGGAACATGTACACATATTTTGATTTCAGAACAATTCAGAAGAACAAAACTCCTACTTCTCAAGGGAAGGATTTGACTAATCTCTGTGACACTTGAGGTTTCCACTGCTGGTCTGCATTCCTGCTGAGCTTGCCTCAGGAAGTCACGGCAGGACTAGAAATATACATCTTTTTGCCAAGCAACCAGCATAGGAATAGAGTATGAGCTTCGCAGTTAAACAGATACAGGTGAAATCTGTCTTCTCTATTCACTGTGTGCCTTTAAAATTTTTGCTTGACCTCTCTAAGTATCTCATGATGCTTACTAATATCATAACATTGCCCCATGAGAGAAATACTGTAAAAGGCAGTGTCCAGAATATTTTAAGGCTTTTACAAATGGTACTTAATATTATTTTACTCACAGAAATTCTAACTATGATACTCCTCTCCATGAAAAACTTAGTCTAATTATCTTGTATTATGAGAATAATCTTAGCCTGCTGTGAAGCAATAACCTAGCATGAAACCCAGCGGAGTTAATCATTACTAGACTGCTAGACTGGTTTTCTCCCTTATTTGAAATTTGATCCCCAAGATCACCTGGGAGGCAGCCGAAAAGAAGTATCAGGTTAGAGACTCTTAAGATACTTTGATTTTGAAAAAGGGCAAGTTACAAATTATAACTTTATAAATTTATAAAGACCAAGAAAATAAAATGTTTTTATAATACAAGTATTGTTTACTTCTCTGGCCTATTTACACTTTTAAATGATAACTTAACAAATATGCTTTGCACTTAGGGTGCCTGCTACATCAGTATTTTTTTTCCCCCTAAACAGATTAATGCAGTATTAGGAGTTGAAGAAAGCCATAAACATTCATATCATTCTAAGTATACCATAATAAAAGCCATCATCTTGTGGGTCACTTTTTAAAATTACTGTTTTATAGAATAAATTCATTTATGAAATGTTGACTGCTAATCTTTTTAAATTAAATGATAGCCCATAGATAAAAGTCATCTGTGACTGTTTGGTTTGTCCACTGAAAGGTTAAGATAATGACCCACTGCAGTGAAAACGTTCACAACCCTAGGTTATCCAAAAATCTGTTTTCCTTCCTCAACCTTTCTCTTGAGGTAAGGGACTAGAGGACCAAAGTGCGTGGTGAAGTTCTATGTTGTAGCTGATTGTTAGAGACATTCGAGAAAGCCTAATTTGGATGCAGAAGAAAAAAAAAAGAGCATTTTAAGGATATTTCTGGTTGTAGGACAAATGTTATATGAAATCTTTTAGATCTAAAATATTCCAGAACTTCCCTAGTGGCGCAGTGGAAAAGTATCTGCCTGCTGACACAGGGGACATGGGTTCGGTCCCTGGTCTGGGAAGATTCCACATGCCTGGGAGCAGCTACAGCCCACCTGCCACAACTACCGAGCCCAGGTTCTGCAGTCAGAGAAGCCGCTGCAACGGGACTCCCCTCACAGCTGGTGAGCAGACCCCACCGGCCACAACTAGAGAAAGCCTGCGTGCAGCCGCAGAGACCCAGTGCAGCCAAAATCAACAGGTAAATAAATAAAAAGCCAGCTTCTTAGAAGAAAAACAAGTGTGAATATGTGTTCGGTGATGTGGCGGTGAGCGTTGGGGAGGGGAAGCCTTCTGTGGTCCTGACTGATTAGGTGTCAGTCTTTAGGGAGCTTATGCCTCGGGACTGTGCACTTCACAAGTATTTCAGTTTTTTTCTCTCCCCTCAGGTGAGAAGGGATGGCTGCATTAGATTGGTCCTGGGAACAGTCATACCTCAGAGACACTGTGGAGTTGGTTCCTACCACTGTGATAGAGTGAATATTTTAATGAAAAAGCCACATGAATTTCTTTTTTTGACTTCTCAGTGCATGCGCAAGTTATATTGCTGTATTATATTATGCAATAGCATTGATGATTTACTGGATTTGATGGGATTAGAGAATGTGATAAATATATACACATCTGCATGTATATTCGTATATTCCATCGACATGCATATCTCCACATGTACATTGCGACTTGCTCGTGCGCACACAGCATGACACGCCCAGACATATCACACCAGCCACGATACAGTGCCCGTCTCACTGCCTGGACTCACCACGGCAGGATGCCCCTGCATCTCAATCCACCACGTGTGTCGGGACATAACCGGGCACACCAACGGGCCACGGAGACATGACGGGATGTCAGGACGCTGCCTGGATTGAGGCGCAAGAGAATGAGCCCCCGTCGGAAATGCCCGCCTCTCAACACACCAGGGAACGCCTCGACATCGCGCGCATACAGACGCGCACCCGTGACAGCCTTGGTGTCGCAACGCATTCCTCCGATCGTGACAGAAGGAACCACGCTGAGACGCATGAGCGTGTTTCGAGGCCTCTCCCGTCGCCGCCGTCGCCGCCGCGTGACCACACCACGTGGGGTCCCTTCTGCTGGACCCGAGTGCCCCCCACCCCCGACCCCAGGCCAGGCAGGGGCCCCGCATCGAGCCACAGCGCGCATCGAGACACAGTGCGCATCGAGACACAGCGCGCATCGAGCCCGTCCAGCATGCCTGTCGAGACAGAAAACCACACCGCGGCCAAAACCTTCCTGCAGCGGCACGCTCACCATTGCAACCCACCACCCCGCGCTACCGCACGCCCTCTGGCGTTGTGACCCAGGGGGCCGCGCCACAGGGAGATGGCGCGCCACAGCCTGTCCGGACGCGCACGCAGAGCCGCGCCCGGGACGCCCGCACGCCGCGACGTGTCAGCGCGCCGCGCGTTGCGAGCGCGTCACGACGGAGGCGGTGTCACAGCGCCCCCTGGGAGGTCAGGGTGGGACTTCTATGTTGTGACACGCACAAGTGTGAGTTTTCAGTCTGAAAAAAGGCCGTCTTACAGGCTAGGGGCTTAGCTCCAGGCAGAAGCCGGCTGGGTCGCCTGGCCCAGCTAGGTCTGCCCTGTAAGGACAGCCAGCTGCGCTGGGACACTGATGCAGAGGCTGGAGCTCACACAGAGAGGAGCTTGCCGGAGCCCCGCTTCTGGCTCAGCTGCTAAAGAATCCGCCTGCAATGCGGAAATTTTGGGTTCCATCCCCGGGTTGGGAAGATCCCCTGGAGAAGGGAAAGGCTCCCCACTCCAGTATTCTGACCTGGAGAATTCCATGCACTGTAACTCATGGGGCTGCAAAGGGTCAGACACGACTGAGGGATTTTCACGTTCAGAAATGGGCAAGAAAGACAGTGACTTGTCCCAGAAAGTCAGGAGAAGTTCGCTTTGGAATTCCTCACTGCCACCAGCCTGTTAACAAACAGCATGAATGGCTAGGTTAAAGGATTCACGCATCGGGCAACATCTCATATAGCATGCAGAGAGATTTTCTGGTTTGGAAATTTATATTTACCATCATAAGCTAGGGAAGGGCTGTGTAACATCTATTATATCCGAAGTCTTATTCTACTAAGAAACTTTATTCTAATTTAAATACAGTCTCAGAAAGCCTTTATTGTTTTTATCAAGTTCCCTTTTCACCACTGTCTCAGGAGAAGTCCATTGGAAAGAGTTCGGAGTGGCTTCATTTGGATTGTTGGTGTTTCTGTTTAGTAACTAAGCTGTGTCTGACTTGTCACCCCGTGGACGGTAGCCCACCAGGCTCCTCTGTCCATGGATTTCCCAGACAGAAATACTGGCGTGGGTTGCCGTTCCTTTTCCAGGAGATCTTCCTGACCCAGGGATGGAACCTGCATCTCCTGGATTGGCAGCTTAGTTCTTTACCAATGAACCACCTGGCAAGACCTTTGTCTAGACTGAAACCCCATATTCTTGATTATTTGCAGAGGTCACCTTCTTTTTCCTTAGTAATTTATGCCAATACCTTATATATGAATATATAAATCCTTGGTTAAAGGGGTGGTAATTACAGTTTCTGAGTCCATAGCATAGGGTTTAGAGTAATTCAGAAATGTGTTCAGTCAATCTCTGAAAATTAACTAGGTCTGTGAGCTTCTGTAATTTATTTAATTTCAGTGAAACTGCATGCAAAATGTGTCTAATAAAAGTGTCAGAGGTTTTTTAGGATGAGATTAGATTAATATAGTAAATATTTAAATGGGATTAGCTGATCTTTTTCTTGGATTTCTTAACATATGTCATAATATATTTTTAATAAAATGGTTACTTCATTTCCCTCTAGGTTCCTCATGAAGCCAAAGACCCCATGGCTTAGATCTGATATTTAATTTTGTCCTGGTGGCTTAAAATATTTCATTACCTCTTAGGCTTTTTTAAAAAACATATTAAAAACCTACAAATTGTATTCATTTAAGGTAGTATTATAGAAAGCTAGTGAAATTTTATGCCATTTCCAACTATAAAATGCTTGTGAAAGCACAAAACGAAATCAAAGGGAACTTTTGCTTTCTACCATGGTGGAATCAGTGGTGCTGGGTTAGCCCTATTGTCGTAATTTCTATTAATATAAAACAGGAGGAAAAAAAAATGCAGGTTTTGGGCAACAGGCGAAGCAAGTCTGTGATAGGAGAAACTGAGTTTGGAGGCTATGGAAACTCTCTGTACTATACTTGAAATTCTCCTATAAATCCAAAATTGGTCTAAAATTTAAAAAAATTATTGAAAAACACAATTCTGTCTTATATACTACTTTGCAAATTGCTATTACCATTATTTATAATACAGAGTAATTTATTACATAATATAATTAAATTTATTGAACAACCCTTTACTGAACTTTATAGTATCTGAAATAATGTTGTAATGTAATTTGTTGCACAAGCTTTTTTCTGGCCTAGTAGTTTGAAAGGATATACTTCAAAATGTCACCAGCAGTTACTGATGGATGAAAAGGTGAAAGTAATTTTTAATATGTTTATTTTACGTCACTTCTCAATTTTCTTTCTTTGTTTTGAAGATGTATTAGTTCTATAATCAGAATTTGTCTTGGTTTCCTCAAGGTTTTTCTCTTTTCTTTTTTTAAATGTGTTTATTAGATAGAGCAGTACCATTTTAAGAAATATTATATAATTATTAAAGTCCAGGAGAAAAAAATCAGAACAATGTAATAGATGTACTGGAATTAAGGCAATCAAGTACAATAAGCCTACCCATTACAGTTTCTGAGTGTATTGTGGTCCATGACATAGTTTTCCAGTCTTTTTCAGGCAACCCTGAAGGTCCATCGGATCCTTTCGGGGGAATGCAAGGTCAGCCCTATTTTTGTAATAAAACTAGTAAGTTATTTATCTTTTTCACTGTGTTCACATTTGCACTGATGGTACAAAGGCAAAGAAGAATAACATTAGTGATTTCTCAGCACAAACTGAGTCACACCAAACTGGCCTACTAGACGTGAAAACTTTGCTCTCACAGTCAAACCAAACCAACCCAAATGCACACACATAGCTTCACAAAAGCCCAAAGCAGAACAAAAGAAACAAACAAAAGACTAGTTTTGCTTAGGAATGTATGGGAAGAAGCAGTGAAAATTATGTGTGTTACCCAAGTTTGGTCTTTGAATGTTATGATGTGCTCAGCCCCTGAGTCGTGTCGGACTCTGTGACCCCATGGACCCCAGGTCTCCAGGCTCCTCTGTCCATGGGCTTTTCCAGGCCAGAATACTGGAGCAGGTTACCTTTCCCTTCTCCAGGGGATCTTCATGACCCACGGGTGGAACCCTGTACCGTGCTTCTCCTGCAATAGCAAGTGGATTCTTTACCACTTTGTTGCCTGGGAGAAATAATCTCTATAACGCAATAGGAAATACACATAAGGCAGTTCCGCTGGGCAGCAAACTACCAAGTTTGTCCTAAGGAAAGCACTCGTTCAATTGAATGGTGAGCTGAACTAGCATCTTCTTTTCATCTAACACTGTTTTCGCTTGAAAGAATGACTGACAATCTATGGTTGTTTTAGACTTGGATATTTGGCAGATATTTTATTACAAATGAACAGAATGAGTCTGCTATTTGGAGGAAAACAATTAAAAAAAGTTTCCTACATACATTTGCTGCTGCTGCTGCTAAGTCACTTCAGTCGTGTCCGACTCTGTGTGACCCCACAGATGGCAGCCAACCAGGCTCCCCCACCCCTGGGATTCTCCAGGCAAGAACCCTGGAGTGGGCTGCCATTTCCTTCTCCAATGCATGAAAGTGAAAAGTGAAAGTGAAGTTGCTCAATCGTGTCCGACTCTTAGCGACCCCATGGACTGCAGCCCACCAGGCTCCTCCATCCATGGGATTTTCAGCCAGTCTTTCAATGTGTATATTTTTCTATCTGGAATATTCAAAGACTGGCTCCTAAATGTATGTAGGAGAATTTTTTTTTTTTAATTTTGAGGATAAAAAAGGAACTGCTAGAAAGAAAATGCACACACAAAAACACACAGGCACACATAAACACAAACTAGTTGCAAAGGAAGAAATAACAGACTTCTTAAACTGTTGAGTTACACAAGTAACAAACGTAAAGATGCAACAGACAGTTTTCACAGGACATATTGTGACAAACATCTCTTGCGCATCAAGTTGGCTTATTATGTAATGTAGTGTGAAGACATTTTTTGTTATTCAAAGACTCAGATAATGTATTACTTCTATTATTTTCATAAAAACAACAACACAAAAGCAAGCACAACACTCAGAGGTTGCATGAAGATAGAGACAAACAAGTGCAAATGTAGACAGAGACACAGAGGTAGACGCAGAGGTAGGTGCAGATAGAGACACTGCAGTGGCGGTTGGGAAATGAAAAGCTTAGTGTTATCTGGTAGTCTTTTCCTTAAAACCAATTCATACAGTAAAAAACAAACTAAAAACAATAAAGAAAGCCAGTTCATACAGTAAAAGAAACGATAGAAAACAAGGTACCATGATATATAAATATTGCATAAAACAATTAAACAAGAGGAATAAGACCAAACATATTCTTTTAAAATTTAAGTGTAAAAAAATAAAACATACCTGTTAAAAGATAAATGTTGTTAGTGTCATACAACAAAATCCAGATATTTGAGTGTTTACCAAGAACCATCCCTCAAATAAAGTGCTACAGAAAGTTACCATGAGGCATAGTTGCAGTGTAAGAGATTAATGAGAAGAAACTGGATTTGGGATATATGCGAACTCTTCGTACTATGCTTATTATTTTTCTGTAAATCCAAACTTGATCTAAAATTAAGTTTTTTAAAAAAATAGAATACTACTTCATATACTGCTTTGCAACTTGCTGTTGTTTTGTATAGGTATATGTTGTAGAATGTTTTCCCATATTAACAATTATAGATTTACAGTGTTATTTGTAATCCTTGCAGACTAATCCATCATGTAATACAATAGCATTTCTTTTAAAAATTCTTTGCTGAATTTTATATATCTGAAGCAATGTTGTAATGCTCAAAATTCTCTAAGCCAGGCTTCAACAGTACGTGAACCGTGAACTTCTGGATGTTCAAGCTGGATTTAGAAAAGGCAGGAGAACCAGAGATCAAATTGCCAATGTCCGTATATGTATAAATGTATTCTATATAAATATATTCTTTTTCATTGAGGCTCATCACAGGATACTGAATATAGTTCCCTGTGCTATCCAGTAGGACTTTGCTTACCCATTCTGTGTATGACTGTTTGAATCTGCTGTTTCCAGACTCCCAACTCTTCCCTCCTCCATCCCTCGCCTTGGCAACCACAGGTCTGTTCTCTCTGTCTGGGGGTCTGTATTTCATAGGTATGTTCACTTGTGTCGTATTTGAGATTCCATGTATAAGTGATATCATATGGTACTGGTCTCTTTCTGACTTTCTTTGCTTGGTAAGATAA